AGATATAGTTTGGAATAGTTACGAATATATTTTTACATGTTATTATATATAGTTAAATAGTTACACAGGAAATCTAGTTTACCTACATGTAAAGTAAATACTAAACCGTTAAAACAAAGTAACCTTTGCGTGAATCAAAATTTGAATTTTTGTTTTTTTTTTTAATAAAAAAAATTGTTCACATTTGTATAAAAAGTTTCTACTTGTTTCATTACTTTACTATTTACTTCCGCACATTATACACCATAATTTGGCTACCAGAATATGTATGTGTACTTATACAAAGCTCGCTCTTGACCAATCTTGAAAGATCCCCAACGTAACTGGATTAAACTTTTTTCTTATTAGCCCGATCCAATTTTATGGTCGTGCGTTTCGGGTGTGGGTCTTATACGTTTTAACATTTAAATAAATTATTCGCCATTTAAGATATGTAAATTGCGATGCATACTTCAGTGTGCATTTTAAATAATAAATCTGCTATCTGAGATTAAGGGATGGCGATTCCAGTTTCAAATTTATAATGTTCTGATTAAATCATTTTATCTCAATTAAATTAAATACTGTCTATAGTTTACGCGAGTAGTACACATTTAAATAAAACACTTTAACGGTTTGAAAAGCGATATATATTAGTCAAACTTATTTGAAAATTATCTTAACTACGGCCCGACGAATACTGCCGGGGGAACACCAACCTTTAGCATTAGCTGTAGAGATGGCCCTGCATTCGTGACGGTGCTTTTCATAAATTTTCCAAGCTTTCACAACCGTGTGTACAGTGAGATATAGAAAATGATACTAATGTATCTTTTTATTTTTCTTTACATTATATATAGTTTACGCGAGTAGTACACATTTAAATAAAACACTTTAACGGTTTAAAACGCGATATATTAGTTAAACTTATTTGAAAATGATTTTTAACTTCGGCCCGACGTTTCGGATGCTTTGCAGCAGCCGTGGTCACGGGGAGACACAAACGTCGGGCCGAAGTTAAAAATCATTTTCAAATAAGTTTAACTAATATATCGCGTTTTAAACCGTTAAAGTGTTTTATTTAAACATTTTATCTCAATTAAATTAAATACTCAATGATAAGTCACATAAGCACGTCGTGGGGATATAGAAACGGGGGGAGGGGGGTTGATCAAAATATCTCTCTGTCAACACATAGAGATTTTGACAGTATTTCTGGAATTTGAACCAACATAATGTTCATAATGGACGTAATGGAGTAAAGATGTTATGCTTACATTGTGATACACAAACCAAACATTTCTCAAGCTAATGATACACGTATACATTAGACGTTTTGATTATTTAATAATGAAACCCAAAAACTTCACAAGAGACAACCCTACAAGTACCTACTGTAATTATCATTAATTTAAAATTGATAAGTATGAATTGTTGAAGTGCAATAAAAGTTGGCGCCGTCAAAATATGGCGTCTGATAAGAACATTTTTGCTACACCTAAGTTCATGTTAAAATAAATTATCTGCTTTGTATCAAGTTACCGTATAAATTTAATTTTCTTTTCAATTAACTTATTTGAATGCCTTATGCTTTAAGTCATTTATAATGTTGAATCATATCTAGTAAATTGAAAATTAAAAAAAAGTACGACAAAGGCAGGACCTAAACCGGCATCTACAGCGTTACGTGCTTTTGCTCTAACCAATTGAGCTACCGAGTCCTATCGATAAGTTAAAAAAAAATCGAAGATGATGTATTTTTTTTCTTTTATATAGTGTCATCGTGTGGAATAACATGTGAGAAATATTAAAATTTTCTATCATATCTAGTAACCAAACGTACAAAAACAAGTTCTATTAAAATACTAAAAATCTAGACTCTAGAAAAAGTCTAGCTTGACAGGATACGCAAAACAGATCGAAATTTCTAATTAATGTTTTATATAATTTATTGCTGTAAAGTCTGAGTTCAATGCACTCGGCTACTAGGAAAATAACATATTTTACGATGTGTTCAATAAATCTCACTTTTTTTATTAATTACGAAAATTAACATGTAAAAATGTGAAGTTTACCATATTTTTTTATTGATTCAATATTTAATATGTACAAATTAATTAATAGGCGATTACTTTACGATATTGTTAAACTTAAGTTTAAGGACATATTTCTTTAAAAAAGTAACGTTTAAACAATACCTTAAAATGTCAAATTTCTGCTCATACAACGCAATATGTTCTTTTAAATAAAACATTAACGGTTATAACGCGATATAATTTAGTTAAACTTATTTGAAAACTATTTTAACTATGTCCGGCCGTGGTCACGTTTTAAACCGTTAATGTTTTATTTAAATGTGTACTACTCGCGTAAACTACAGACATTATCATATAATCTATCAAATCTTCAAATCATACTTGTAATATATCTTCATTATAATCAGATACCTATTTCTATATCGTGGTGCATGGCTGTTGTCGGAAGGATAACACTTCAAAGAAGTCGAGTCGATTACTCCAATTGTTTTCCAATATCTTCTATTCAGGAAAACTTTGTTGGTGTATTTAATCCCGTTCCCCCGAATTATCTGTGGGAATATAAAAAGTTTAAAGAAAATATTAGAAATTTCTCTTATTATTTTTTTACTTTATTGCTTAAATTAATTCTATAAAACTTTTATTATCTATAATTTATAGCTGAATAGTTTATTTGTTTCTTTGAACGCGCTAATCTCAGGAACTACGGGTTCGAATTCAAAAAATTATTTTTGTGTTGGTTAGATCATTTATCGAGGAAGGTTATAGGCTATAGAACATCGCGCTGTGACTAATAAAAGCGAAGATGCAGGGTGAAAAGTGAACAAAACGGGGGAAACTTTTTTCCTCTGTGGGTTTCAGTTGCGTACGCTGCGAAAACGGTTTAAGATAAATAAAAAATGTATAAGAAAGGATTATTCCTCCTATTAGATGATCTAAAAAAAGTCCGCGACGCTATATGTCTATCTTTTAAGATTAACATGCAAGAACGACGGGAAGGGACGCGATTGACATTGGGGCTAACTAAGTTTATAAAGATGACGGGGTTTGCAAAAACATATTTGGATGCCCAAAATAACGATTCTCGCGGACTAAGTCGCTAGTATTTATAGGCACAGCTAGTATTAAATAAAACAAATAAAAACATATATTTCTATAATAACCACCCATATCTACAGTCTAGACCCTGGAATGTGTACGCCCCGTGTCCCATGGGGGAAACTTTGTTACATGAGTAGGAAGATATTTTGTTGCAAAAGATCACATTATACTTCTAGATAACTTTCTAAAATATACGTTATCATAATCCTCAACAAAGTAATATAATTGTCGACGTGTGTATTTCATGTCACTAACTTAAGAATTGCCCCTCCGTACTTCAAAAGTTCCTTCGCCCCGCGAAACAACACAAACCAAATCATAACTTTCCGAGAACTTATTACCATATTTACCATCCATAACACTGGCGTAAAAACCACATACGCGCCATTGTCGCTGCGTAAACGAAAAAAAAAGTATACCTACAAAGTAACGCGTAACTCAGGTAGCGGGCTCAATAAATACAACCTTATTTTTTGCTTTTTTCTTATGTCAGACGCGGCCCGCGAAACCCGTTTTATCGCTATCTCGCTCCAACGAGAGCTTAGATTTTTAATTAAAACTGACTTAGCGGCCCTGTCACTTTTAATTTCAAATTTCAAATTGAATTTCAACTTATTTGTTTAGACGTACGAACTCGTCCTAATCCTATTCATCCAAATATTTATTAATTATCTGTATATTGAAGAAATATGGCTGGTTAAGGGGGACACGACGGTTTTAGTTAATTTTTTTTTTACAGTTTATCTAATATATTTCGCGTTTTAAACCTTTAAAAGTGTTTTATTTAAATATAAAGCTACTCAAAATTCTTGTGTCATACATTATTAAGAATATGATACACAATTAATTACGTAAGCAGACGTTTTACTACAGACTATAATATAGATTTTATTCCCAGAGTCGCGTTACAATGCGTAAAGCTTTGTTGCGCCGCATGAAATCTTATCTGTAATCTCACGATAGTTTTGCTTACTATAACTCATTGTTAGAGACTACATTCGATCCGTATCACATTTCACAATAAAACAAAAGAAGACAGCTATGCAAAAATTAAAACAATACTACCGATTGATTTACACAAGCTGCAAGCAATTACAATATGGAATTGAATAAAACTGTTTTAACGGTTTAATATTAATTACCCAATTTCAAGTGTTTTATAAAATAAGTACTCGAAAGCGACTACTTAACATTTAAGGATATTTGTTTAATTTTAAACATACAAAAATGTCTTATTGGTACAATAGCGATATCTTGATTTAGCGTGAGGGCTCGGATTCAAATCCCAAAAATCCTATGTTTTAGGTAATAGCAAGATAATTCTAAATTTAAGTTTTTATTAATTTTTGCCTCTTGAAATACTTCATACTGTTTTACGAAATCAATTTTGATCAAAACACCCATATATAACCCTCGATAGCATTTGGTGTTCACTCTTATAAACAAGATTATCGCCTCAAATACAAATTTTTATGACATAACAAATCGTCTTTTATAGACACCAGTGACTTTTAAAATGCATATACACTGATAGTATTAATTTTTCAAATTAATTGATTCCTTATTCGAGTAGGATGAACAAGTTTTTAAGGTTGATTGGTTAGGTCAAAAACCTTAGTGTTTTGGAATGCGCTGTTGTTTTTTTTTACTTAGCTTGGCTGTCTTTGTTCTATGAAAATAACGTCAGTCGAGAGTCGAACTTATTACGGCTTTGAAAATTGTGCAAATCTCACAATTATTTTAAGTATAAGTTGTAATAGATTTTTTTTAGTAAAAGTTTTAATTTAAACAAACAAACAAACAAACAAAACAAAAAAATACTTTATTTTCACCACAATGTTACAAAATAAACTTAATTAAAATTTATTTTTTCTTTTTTTTCAGACTACTGGACGTTGCGGAAGCACGCAGACTCGGGACCGGAAAATAAAGAAAATTAGCAGAGAATCTATATTAACTCTAAGTTATTAAAGAGAAAACTATAGAATGAATTATGTAAAGACAATCTTGTTAAACGAAAAAATACTGTCACTATAACAGGGAACGGTAATCCTAATTTCTGAAAACCAGCAAGTTATGTAACATTTTTGGTTTCATAAATTGTTTTAGGAACTCAAAAATGTATTATTAGGCTTGAGGTCAATTTAACGATGTAATCAAATTTATCAATCAGCAACTGAAATATGTTGAGTTGTACAATACTAGGGTTAATTTGAGGAAATACACTTCATAAACGTGAGAAAATGTATTGTGATTTTAAAAATAAAACACTTTTAAACGGTTAAAACCAAGAACTATAATTTAATTTGTAAGTTAACTGTTCAGATCGTAAATGAACACGAATAATATAAAGAAACAAGGTTATCTTTACATAATATATAAATAAATAGCTAAAATAATTATAGACTATTAGTTTTTATTACTAAAATGTTTTAAACGCGTTTATGGCAATAAATGTTTATTAAAAAGGTATAATTTAGAATTAGTTTAATTTAAAGTTAGATTTATTGCAAAATTATGAAATTGATCTCTACATAATAATGTAATTGTTCAAAGGTACAGACATTTTTACTTATGCATTGTGTTACGTCTCGTAGAAAATATCCAATCATTTTTACGTAAATGTCCGTAAATTTATAGCATACCAAAATTAAGGTACCAAACCTTAATTGGAATATGACTGCATTTCTTATATTAGGTATAATTTTCCTAAAGCTTGTACGTCTTTAAAAGAGCTGACATATACATTGTTTAAAGTTGATTGTCATATTATAATATAAGTAAGCCTTCACGGCCATTTTTAAAAGTTACTTCGGTGATACTGTCCTGATACGTAAGCTTTTAAACACGTTTATATGTTTATATATAATAATATATACACATTTATAAGCGTCAAACGTTCATAACAAATACCTGTAGATTCAGCCTCGAAAATTACACATAATAATTTTAATAACATTATAATTATACCACTAACATGCAGAAAACGATCGATGCCATAGACAAAATTTTCTCAATTACTAATCTGTACTTTCAGAATATTTATGTAGAATCTAGTCTTTGATCTCTGCAATAAAAACGCTTGTATGAAGTCCGCTTCCTTTGAAATCTGTCCTTAGATTTAGCATTGAATAATAAATAATAATACAAAATAATAACGTGTATTAATGAACATCCATTTTCTGATTTCAAAAAATTGTTATTTACATAATGTATGTACAATTTTTGTCATGTTCAAGGCACATTTCTGTGGCTAGTTCGCTAAATTATATTACTAGCGAACTTAAGCATAAAAAATAAAACTAAATATTTAATCGCCAAAGGCTTCCAATGAGTCAAATATTTTTTGTACCCTATCCACAAGAAATATTTGTTTAAGTCTACCCGCATTTTATTATATCTGTCTAACCCTATATAAGTTATTTAGTTGAGTTTGCCTATCTGCTTCTTAAATTGTTAATGAAAAGTTAATTTAAAGAAAAATTCTAAAACTATATACGAATTTATCAATAAAACTTCGGATTTTCTTTTTAAATCTCTTGAAACCAAAGCACCAGCCATAATTATTCCTACAATATTTTCCTTGTAACTTGAAAAGTGCTTTTGACACTGCTTTATTTTTGTTATTAAAAAGTATAAATTCTTTAGTTAGGTATTTCGATACGCTTTTAAGATTAAATGATTTCTATATGTCGGTTGTCTTTTTTTTTACATTTTTAAAGGATATTTTCCTCATAATCATTTAAAAATGATAATAAATTAACTAACCACTAAACACGAACTTGATGTGATGTGAAGTCGGCGTCGTCTAATAGGAGGGTAGTTATGTTCTTTTTGACATAAATACATTATTGTTATGGGAATCCAAATTTGTTTTTTTTTTCAAAGCTCGTTATCTTTATAAACTCAATAAATAAATTACTCACGACACCGGACATCGGTCGTCGTTCGGATCCCGACGTTCTTGTAAAATAATCTTAAAGATATATAGTGTCGCAGACATTTTTAGATTATTTAAAGAGGAATCCTTCTTTCCGATATACTATTTGGGTGCCTTGAACCGTTTTCGCTGCGTACGTCTGCTTTCACATTTCCGGCTGATTTCAATTCGCTTCAATTAGTCACCGAGCGATGTTTTATAGCCTAGCCTTTAAGCCAAAAAGATTTTTTTACTCGAACCAGTAGATCCTGAGATTAGCGTGTTCAAACGAACAAACAAAGTCTTCGGCTTTATCGATTAGTAAATTATTTAGAGGAAAAGTAGTTCTAAATAGCCCCTTAGATTCTTGGAGCTTAGTATGTTCTTTATTTATTAATTCATGACGTTATTATGGCCTGAATCAAAGCTATTCACCGCGCTAAACATTAAAGATTGAATATTTCGTAATGCATTGAATTCCTGGCATTCCTTTCTGAAAGGGGTTAACGATGACTCACACGGGAATCACATCAGTGAGTAATATGTTGAGAAATGTATGACGTCACTATTCATCAAATAAAAGCAGTAGAATTCAATAGGCAATAAAAATAAAGCTTTATTCTTCTTTAGGGAAGTAAATTGATGACATTTCAATCACTATAATTTTTCATATGAAACCTATATATTCGAGTATATATCAGGTTTCATGTAAAAAAATAGAAATAAAAATTGTTAGTTAGAATAACTTTTACATACTCGGTTTGGTCGTGGTTCGCGTTCAGTGTATGTTTTTTAAACAATTTCTGAATCTGTGTATTTCTCTACATCTAGCTTGGTTTGTAGAAGTAACAGCAATTTTAAACTTAAAACTTTAAAACTTAAAACTCGCTGTTTTAAGGATTTGGATTAATTTGATTACTTTAAAGGAATTCCACGTCCAGACTAAAAACTTCCTTCTAGAAATATCAAAGCAATTCTGAACATACTCCAAAACATCCTAAGAAAGTGAAAAGGAAGTTTAGTATAATTTAGCTTGAAGTAATCTGAAACTAATATTTTATAATTTCTCAAAATATATATAACATTCCATTAATCTAATTGAATTTTAAGGAATATAGGTAAATTGTATGAAATTATAGAATTGGACAATAATTTTTAAGAGATTAAGTTAGATTATGAGTGAGACAATAACTTTACTAATCAAAGGTGATCTGAAGCACTGTAGTAAGGAGACAAACAGACACGTATTTTTACCCATACGAAATTATCACTTGAAAAATATTCTTAAATGTTCTAAGACATCTTTCCTTACCATTTCTTTCCGTTCCTTATCATTTTCTTCACGATCATATTAAGAAACGAACTTTTGCTAAGACACTTGAGCAAGGCGATTTTTCGTTAGAAGTTTAATTAATATAATTATGAATCAAATAATAAATATATTAGTTATATCATTTGACATGGATATATATGTGACACGGTTGTTAGATTGGTTTGAGCAGCAGCCATTTTTGCGCCTGGCGGCGCGGCCACACCATATCTCTCGCAGGTCCTTCTCCACGGCGTCCTTCCAGCGATATCTTGGCCGGCTGACAGGTCGGCGGCCAGTTGGAATTCCGATATACGCTTACTTGACACTCCGATCATCTCCCATTCTCTCCAAATGGCCAGCCCAGCGGAGTCTTTGGGATTTTGCTTCCCCCATACTTATTAGTTAGTTATTTATACTACACTATATGAAGGTTCAGGATAATTTATTAACTTATATAAATACAATAGGAATAATATACAAATACAAATGTTTGTTCTATATCTATCAATTTGTTGGACAGTCGGCCTCCTTGAAAATTTGTATAAAGAAAAACTAAATGCTGAAGAACACAATAATAAAATAAAACCCCTTTATTACGAATACTACAGTTTGGAATTTACAATAATAAATATTTCTTACTAATATTTACAATGTTTATTCTGTACTAGTCTCTGTGTGCCGATCGGCAAAGGCCTTCTCCAACCTTTTCCACTCTTTTTTATCTTGGGCTACTCTATTCCAAAGTATACAAACAAACGTAAATAAAAAACGTACTCATTTAAGTAAAATATTGTTTCCACAATAGAACCAAAAATCATTGTGATTTTAGCACGTGCCACCACCACCACCAGACAATGCCACCCCAAGTTTGTAATTAGTCATTTTTGTCATAACAATCGTCAAATTACCTTTGACCGGACAAGAGCCGTTAATTATGTGGGGTAAAGATGCGCAAACGCACGTTGTGATTGGCTATTGTTGATCCGCTGCATCTGGATTTGTATAGGTGCAGATGTGTAACTCTTTTGATCATATTAATATACATTTAAAAGGTTTTTTTTAAATATTTCAGGTTTTATAAAAGGAGTCTTTATGAAAAGTCATAAACTACAGATCAAAAAGAATGAAATTAAAACCATATTTTTATGAGAAGGGAGGAAGGATACATAAGCATGGGTCTTACTTAAATGAAAAAATACGTCAACCGTAGGTCATCTAAATGAGTTGCGTTATCGACCTATCATTGCTTCGGGCATTTGGAAATCCACTGATTAAAACCAAAACACAGATGTACACACTTCACGGCGTTACCATCTTGATTCATCACCCGGAGGAAACTTTAAAATACCCACCACTCATTTAACCAGACTATCCAGTCACAATCTAACATGTTTCAGAGTTCAGACTAACTACAACTAATTGTCAACTACAATTCTTTCAGACCTCATCCCGCTAGTGGCTATACTGTCCTCAATTTAGCAGTCCAAATATACGATATTATAATATTAATATCAGTAACATCACATGTAATTATGCGTCGTATAAATTTTACGCATCGCACGCGCAGGGGACGCACGATTCGCTTACCATTTGTCATTATTATGCTTATTTAGCAAGGTACGTTGGTGTACATTAAATTCTTCTTTTTACTAAACTTTTAAGTGTTGCAAAGTTTCAGTACATACTGGTAGCTTACGATACTCCTAAAA